TTTTCATCCAATGAGTTACTAAATGAAACTATTATTATTGACCAATTTTCAAATGAAATTCATCATGATTTTCTACAGAATAATATAATTAATGAATTAGCTATTCAGTACGTTAAAAATGAATATCCAATGATGTTAAAAGAAGTTATTGATAATATTTGTTCTTTAATTTGGCAATATAAAGACTCTATAAATGTAACTTTTATTGATTTCATTCCAGCAGTTCTTCATAGAAATAATCAAACATACCCTTATCATTTTACTTATAACTCATTATTATCTAAATCTAAAGCTGGTCAATTAACGAAACATTCAACACTTTTAGCCTCTTTACATTCAATTTTTATTGGTCATTTTGTAGAGTTTGAATATGAAAAAGAAGTTAATTTAATGGAACCTATTGAAGTAAAGATTCATTTCTATAATACAACAAATTACCCAATAAAAATTTCTCTTCTTGGAGAGTCTTCATTAAATAGAATTTCTTATTATAACCAATTTGAAAAAATTGTTACTAATTCATTTTGGTATGGTTCTATTGGTTCTGAACTAGAAATAAATAGTTGGAAAGAAAAAGAAGTTCTTATGACTTGTGTGTTTCTAAACTATGGAGAACAAACTCTCCCACCTATCTATTGGAAATACTCATTTGAAGATGGAATTTGGAGTGATCAAATTCCACTAAATATTTACGACCATTCTCTTACATTAAAAACTCCTATTTCTTCTATTGATACAGAATTTATTGAATAATATGTTTTATATAACTGAAATAATTATAATTTTATTTTTATATTCAATTTTGTTTTAATCAAATCATATTAACAAAAAAATAAATTAATACACGTTTTGAGTTAAATGTCTTGATTAAATACATTGTATAATCTTGATTATAAGTTATAACTATACTCTACTACAACGTTATAGTTTCAATAAAGACATAATATTTTAAATTAAAATCTAAAATTTTAGTACAAAATTAAATATTTTAATTATGATTAGTATTTCTTTCATTTAATTGATAAAATAAAAATAAGAAAATAAAACAATAAATTTGTATTAAAAATTAAACTTACAGTAATAAAAGGAAAAAGGTATTATGAATTAGGTTATAAATTAATCCTAATTAAATTAGTACTCTATATTAGACTTTTAACTTTGAATAATAATGAAGAAATTGAAGATAATTATTAATTATAAACTTGTGTTAACAGTAGTAATAAATTGAATATATCAAACACTATTAAATATTTATATTTATGTTTCTTAAACAATTAATTAGTTAAATATTTTTGTGTTCAACATTCCTTTAATTTAATTATCTATTATTGCAATAATTTGGTATTATTAATGCTCTTAATATTTTTAAATTTTGTTTTATATCATTTATATTGTATTAATCATTACATTCATATTTTAAATATTTAATTTTCCATTATTTCTTTTTTTAATAAAAATGAATAAACTGTTTTTAATTTTTTTTTGATTCATAGTGTGCATATTTGTAATGTTTATTGAAATATTAATTTTGAATTAGTTTTTAATAAAAAATACAAAATAAGTAATGAAAATTAAACCTTTATCTATCACTCTTCATAACGTAACGTATTTAGATGTTTCTACTAACTTTATTTATAAATTTTAATAGATTTCTTATTTATTATCTAATCTTTTATTGATAGTATATAATATATAAAGAGGGACCTTTATTTCTTACCATGTAATTTTTCATAAATACATTCATTTTAATAATCAATATTTTATTACCTCTAAATAAATTATGATTATTATTAATGATTGATATTAAAATATATTAAGGATATAAATAAATGCTATCTTTACAAACTAAATGAATGTATAACTAACTAGATATAAAAAATTATTAAACTTAATTAACAAATTTATTATAATTACTTATTTAACCAAAAATATTTACATTAAAATCATTGCCATGTTAGAATATATTGGAATAAAAGTATCATAACTTCTATTACTGATGTTATTATTAGATCATCCAAAACGTATATACTTGATTCCGATATTATTTGTTTTTTTATTCGTTATAATACAATATGAATCTAATATTTAATGTTTTAGAACAGTGTGTTGATAAAATAAATAATGTTTTAGATAAACTGTCTCGTTATGTACTCAGTTTATTATTCTTATTCTTTCATTTAATTTTCTAATTCTATATTCAAAAAGTTTACCATTTTTTATACTTTCATTATTTGATACATTATTGTAAATAATTTAAATATTTTATTGTCCTCTATAATAACTGAATTGTGTGATATAATGATAATCCTCTTCATTTTCTTTTTTGGTATTTTTAAATATTTTGAGTTATCTAAACTACTTTGTAATAATCTTCTACAAATATATTTAAACATTCTATAACTAATGGATTTACTAATAAGTGATAATTAACTAATGCTCTATTTTATTTGTATAAATTAATAATAACTCAAATATTTATTTTTTGAAAAATAACGTCATTTAAACCAAATAATATTTAGGTAACTCACTGGACTGACTAGAAATAAAAAAGTCACATCACCTACTACTTGATTAACATAACTAAAAATTCTCTTGCACTGCTAATTAAAATAATACAAAAATTATCTGAAAAGTTGGTCTACAATAAGAAGAGTAAAAAGAAGAAGGAAATCTATGACATAGATAACCATTCTAAGAAAGGCCCCAATTTTCAATAGATCTCGAACTAATTAAATAAAGATTAAGTATTTTTTTTTTTAAATTTTGGTGTTTGTTTTTCATTTTGTGGTTGTGTTATTGATAAAAATAAGTTTGTAATAAAATAAAATTGATTTTATTTGGAATAAAGATGCAATAGTAGTTTTTTCAAATGAAATCAAAAAGAACTTTTGAACAATTCCATGAGTGACATTGAGAAAACACCAGAAACACATGAGAACCAAACAATAAGAATCTCAACCCCACCATTGGAAAATGAAGAAAAGAGAACGGATGAAGTTGTGAAAAAACTTTGTTCAAAAGAAATGAGTTCAGATAAGAAGAGAACAAGAAGTTCCAGTAACAACGAAGTAGAAGAGAATGGCGAAAAAGAAGAAACAGACCAGGAAGGAAAAGACAAAGAAAAGAAGGTCAGTAGGGAGAGATTACTTTCGTTCATGTTCAAACGAAAAACAAACGAAAAAACAACTATATCTGAATCACCAAAAAAAAGTCATAAAGAAAAGAAAAAAGAAGGAGAAGAGGAAGAAGGAAAGCTAAAAAGAAAAGAGTTAAAGAAAAGTAAGAAACAACAACTGTTGAAACAAAGTAAATCTGAGATTATAACAAAGAAAAGTGAAGAAATATATTCACAAGAATTAATTATTGAGCATCAAGGAGATGCTATTATTGACAATAATACCAGTCAAAAAGAAAATGAAGAAAAAAGTAAAAGAAAAGAAGGGATTAAAGAAAGACCGAAATCATTGAAAGAAAAGTTATCACCAAGAAAAGAAAATAAAGAAGAAAAGAAAGAATTAAAAATTGAAAAAGAAAAGAAAGTAAAAGACATTAAAAATAAGAAGGAAGTAATTGATAAAGGAATATATAAAGAAGAAGGATATAAAAATGATATTTGGAAAAGAAAAACTATTTGTACGATGGAAAGAAGAGAAAAAGAAAAAAGAAGAAGTAGTGAAATAAGTATTAAAAAGGAAAAGAAGAATATTGAGGTTACTGTTGAAATTGGATTTTTATTACAAACATATAATAAAACACTTAAAGTACCATCTCAAATGAAGGTTAGAGAAGTTATTGAAAAAACTATGATAAGTATTAAAGAAGGATTACATGATGATGTTATTGTATATCAAAGTAATGGAGAGGTTGTAAATCAAGAAGAGAATATTGGGACAGTAGCAATAAATAATAAAGCATACATATATGTATCAAAAAGAGGAAGAAAATGTGCAAAAAAAATTATATTTAAATTTGAAACAGAAAAGAAAAAAGAAGAAAAAAAAGGAAAAGAACAAGCTGATCCACAAGTAGTTTATGATCTTTGTAGATGGATTTATATGCATGGAATAGAAGTAGAAGGGATTTTTAGAATATCAGGAAATAATGAATATATTAAAAAATTAATAGAAAAAGTTACTAAACATTCAACTGGATTTCTTGATGAAGTGAATCATGGAGTAAATGATGTTCATAATGTAGTTGGAATATTAAAAAATTATTTAAGAGAAGCAACAGTTGGATTATTTGATTTACAAATAGCAGAAGAAATACTCAAAAATGAAGAAAATAAACGAGAAGAATTGTTAATGGAAACAATTGATAAATTAAATAAGAAAGATCAATATACATTATGTATCATATTAAATCTTGCTGAAGCTATTATTCAATACAAAGATATTAATCAAATGGGAATAGGAAATATTGCTATTGTTCTTGGACCAATGTTAGTTCATTCAAATGGAGCTGTTAGTTTAATTGGAACAAAAACTCAATTGGAATTTGCTATATTATTAATTAATTTAGCACAAAGTATACGAAAAAGATTAAATATTGATACATTCTTTTCTATAGATGAAGTTGTTTCTAAATTTGAAACACCAACTGAATTTATTCATAGTAATGAAGAGATTGATAGATTTGTTTATGATATTTCATGTCTTGACGAAGAAACACAAAAATTAGCACAAGATATTTGTGGATGGATGGAAATAACTTTAGATTCAAATAATAATAATGTTGAAGAAGCAATTCATTGGGTTCAAGTATATTATGAAGAAAATGAAGAACATTTTATGTATATTGTAAACATGTTAACTCCAGATTTTGTTATTTCTGTAATGGAAAAGATATTAGAAAATATGTTTAATGAAACAAAAAAATTTAACTAATAAATTAATAAGAAATGTTTTATATTGACTGACTTTATTTCTTGTTGTGTTTTAAATTTATTTCATGTATTAACTAATTTATTGATTATATATTTTGTATCGTTATTAGTTTGAGATAGTACTTTAAATGGTTAGAAAATCTTTTACTAATTCAACAAAAGTATTTAAATAACCAAAACAAAAAAAGAAAAGAATGATATAAATTGTATGAAGTATCCAAAAACATTAAAGTAATTTATAAATTACAAATAAAAATGGAATTCGAATTTAAAGAATTAAAACTGAATTGTCGTAAATAGGAATCATTAGTATCATAACATTAACTCTAAAACTAGTTGTTTTTTTTAGTTTTAATTCAACTTGAAAAGATCAGGTTTAATACATTATAATAATGAATGACAGTAAAGCTAAGAAACAACCAAAAAATCCTGCTGAAAGAAAATTAAATAGTTCAAATTCATTAATTTTAAGAAGTTTGGCATTAGTTTGGTTATTATTTCAAGAATGTAATTATGTTATTGTTATCGATAAACAAAAAAGAAATGGAGTCAAAGGATTATCACATATCATTATAAATAAAATATTTGATTCAAATTTTACATTAATTTTTGATAGTAATCGAACTAATACAGGATCTTGTAAAGATCGTTCTAGATATTGTTCTTCAAAGGCGATAAAAGTAATGGTTTCTTCATTAATAAAAGAAGGATATGTTTTTGATTCTTATATTAAGAAATTCTCTTCTAAAAAAGTTAATGGGGAAGTTATTCCTCCTGCAATTAAATTAAAAACAATTACCAAACATTTAAATAGCGATTCAACTATTATATATACTACAGAAGATATTGAACAAAAAATTGGAATGGGATGTTATAATAAACTTATGTATTTATTTGAACGAAATACAGAATTAAGAAAAATAGTATTATCTTCATTTACAATTAATGACGACCAAAAATTAAAACTTCAAATCAAACAAGAGAATGTTTATTATTATGCAAATGATGACTCTGAAACTGAAGAACTTGAACCAAAAGAAAATGGATGAACACTTTAGATGTTAAAAAAATCATCCAAAAAAATAAACTAATTTCTTTCTATTCATTATACTATAATTTTATCATATTTTTATCTCTTTTTATTTTACTTTTTTTTCAATAATCTAAAAATAAATAATATTATTCCAAATATTATTTTAAATAATATTTTTATTATTATAATTAAATTATTCTGAACAACAAAACAAACCAACAAAAAATATTAAAACATCTCTTTAATTTACAAAAAAAAAACAAAAAAAATAAAATAAAATTATTAAAAAATATTAAAAAATTATTTTTAAGTTCTTCTTTTCAATGCAATACCCATACGGTTCTCAATCAGGTTATCCTTATAATTATCCTCAACAACCAAACACCTATCCATACATTCAACAACAAAATACAAACCAACCAAATCCTTACAGAAACCAACAAATGACTTCTTCAACACTTAATCCACCAGGAACTTATTTAACATCACCTTATTCAAACACTTATTCCTCTGCTCAACAACGACCAAATCAACCAACGTACCAACCACCAACTATGCCAAATATTTCACAACAATCTTCATTTGGAATAAAGTCAACATCACCTTATTCAGCACAACAATCAACATACACAGCACCACAAAACCCTAGCTATCAACCACAACAAAACTACCAAGGTGTTTATTCAACACCTCAACAATATCCTTCTCTTCAGAAAGAACAAATTCTTAACCAAATAGAAGTAAATATCTTTGATCTTCATCCCCCTTCAGTTCCTGCTTGGGAATTATCAGAACAACGACTTCCTCAACCACCATCATTTGAGCTTCAGAAGAAGTGGTATTTCCCAATCATTCAATCCATTAAACCACAACAATTTTCACAAATTATTGCTTGGTTTAATCAAGTGGATAAAGACCATAGTGGTACATTAGAGATTGACGAAATTAGTACAGGAAGTTATCCTGGATGTATTCGTTTATCTCCACAAACAGCACTTAGATTTATGAGGATTTTCGATACCTCTAGAACTGGTCATTTGAACATTTATGAGTTCATTGCAATTTATCGTTATCTAGAAATTTGTTATGCTTTATTCAATGCATACAATGGAAGTGGTTCAGAAATTATTAAATCACGACTTACTGGTCTTGGTTTTATTGGAGCCACTCAATGCACTGTTGATATATTGTCTAAAATCTTTTCATATAACAACACAATGGACTTAAATAATTGGGTTGCTTGTGCTGCTTTTGTCCTTCAATCAAGAGCAATCTATCAAGACCTCCTTGACCAAGGACTAATGCAAAGAACCCAAAACCCTCAAGATGCAACAAAAATTTTAGATTCAATTACTCTTCTCATCGACAAATAATCCTTTTTCATTACTTTGGCTTTTAATTTATTGTTTAGTGTCTGTTTTCTCCCTAACTCATCAATACTTCTTTCCAACATAACAACACTAAAAAATCAATTCTTATAAGTTTGTTAATGAAATTGCACTTCAATTTCATTATTTTTCTTTAATTCTATACTCTTTGTAATTTTTATTCTTCTAAGTTAATTTTTTAAAACATTAACCAGACTTCATAACTCAAAATAATCGAATTACTTTTTGTTTTATTTCATTGGTTTACTCTTATTCTTTTAATTGTTCTTACTCTTATTTTTTGATAGCCTCTTTATTAACAGTATCAATTAATTTGAGTCCAATAGTAATTTCTCAAATTCAGAGTACAGACTCTAATAAAAATGAGAAGTGTAGAGATTGTGTAGAGAGTTGTGTTTTCTAAATACCTTTTCAGAAAATATGAACATTTTATGATGTAAGTTTTATGGTAACTTAGTTATTAGACATTTATTGTGTTTAATACTGGTTCAATAGATAGAATAAATAATTTCTATTTGTTAATAGCCTTAATTTTCAAATATTTGAACAAAAATAACAACACAGTGAGTTTCATAAAAACACTTCCTCAGTAAAAACAAACGAGGTACATAACTTTATCACAAAATAGTAAAATGAAAAAAAAACTAATTATTATACATCAAAATAGAATGTACTAAATACTTATAACTTTAAATAAATAACAAATATAATCAAATTAGTTGGTATTTCTATTAGAGTGTCAAAACAACTTATTTATTAATTCAAATGATTTCATTCAATCAAATATATTCTTTAAACTATTCTAATTATCAATTATTGTATATTGTTTTTTTTATTGTATGTTTGTTATTGGATAGAGTTTTATACCATCTAAAAGTATTATAACTAAAATTAGTTGATATCAATAATACGATTAAATTAGTTTCATTTAATTTAACCATTTTATTTTATTCATAATTTGTTTGTAATTGGACAGTTGATTTTTGTTAGTAAAGTTATGATAAGGAATAAATTTAATGAACTTGACTCAAAAGTATATACTTGTAGTTGATAAATATTAAATAAACAATTATTCTTCTAAATTTGTTATGTAAATAGTCAATTCTTTTTACATCTATTTAAATTAAACACTTAACTTTTCTGTATTATTTGTTTTTTTTCTCATAAAACAATTGAACGGTATTTCAAAAATATGTAAATCAATAACTTCTATTATTTTAGATTAATTATCAAAAATTAAATTGTTTCATAAAGAAGCAAACATTCTTCAGTTTTTTATTTCATATTTTAGTTATTTTTATATTAACCAGTTCATTAGTACTTATCTAAATAGATTTATTGAGTAAATAGTTTAATAATGGTCAAAAAGTAATTTAGATTTTAACTTATTCCTAATATTTAATATTTATTGATTTTAGATTATTTAATGATATAAATAATGAAGATAAGCAATTATTGATTCATCTTTTTATAATTAATAATTAATTTATTTCAATATATTACATTCTTTTCTGTTTCTCTTATAAGATTCATCAATAACTCAATTCACAATAAAGTCTTGAATTGAATATCCATTATTTTAGAATTATCACATACAAACCAATAGAAAATTTTCTTCTTTTATTATTTCATTCTACATGAAGACATTCTTTAAATATGAAAATACCATAGATTTACCCATTGTAATAAACTGCTAGAAAACTATTAATTTTAAGATTGAAGATATGCTTATATTCTTTCTATTTTTCTTTTAATCTCCTGTTTATGTACCAACTAATACTCTTCATCCTTTGTTTTATAGACTAGTTATACGATTTGTATGATTAAGGTATTTTAATTTATTGTTTTTTTACTAAGTACACTAAACACATAATGTAAACCATATTAATAAGATACAAAACAATTAAAATTACTTCTTCGAGTAAATAGTATTGTAATTTTCTTCAAAAAATAAAAAAGGTTTAATAAAAGCAAATGGTTAAGAGATAGAAATGAACAAGTATCAAGATAAAATATTTATTATAATCATAATGCTCTAAAACACTAAATTTGGACATTAAAACATATCATTGATAATACTTTGGTTGATAGAAACTATGTTATTTAATCAATGAATGAATAATTGTAAGAAAAACATTCTATTAATTAGAAGTGTTTAGTTAATCTATAATAATTGTAGGAATCATACTTTGTATTAAATCTGTTATTCTCTTTACTTTAAAACTTATTGAATATTATAAGAATAGATGATTCTAATTTACTATTAAGAACATATGAATCTTTTTTTCTTTCTTTTAATAACTTTTCCATTATACTCAATCTGAATAACTTAAAGTTTAATGTATTAATCTTTAAAGTTATGTCTTTATTAATTGTTTTAAATAGATGAAATTGTGTTATTAGTAAAAGAACAAAAAGAAAGAATAACTAAGTAGTGTAAGAAGAGACAAATCAATAACATAAATGTATTTAGTTATTATCTAATAGAATACAATGAAAGAAGAAAATAAAAATAAAGAATGATTGATAAATAAATACTCATATTATGATTGATAATTTTTTATTTTAGATAACAAAAACATAAGTAAGAGAGAGAAGAAAAAGAATAATTAATTCAATGATTATTGAGGTAAAATAATTTTAACTTTTTTCTTTTGTGGTTTTGGTATTGGAGTTATTTCTTCTTTTGGTTTATTTTCTTTTTCTTCATCTAGATTGAGAGTTTTAGATTTTCCATCTGAAGTAACAACAATAATTCGTTTTCCAGTCTCTTTCTGGAAATTACGAGGATCTAATGCCATAACAACTTGAGTTTCATTAGAAATAGCACCATCAGGTGCCATTTCTGTCATTTCTTTAATGTTTTGAGTTACTTCATCAATAAATTCCGATTCATCAACTTCTTTAGTCATTCTTTGTATTTTCTCTTGTTCTTTCTTCTTTTCTATTTCTTTTTTAATTCTAATTTCTTCAAGTTCTTTCTTTTTTGCCTCTTCTGATCTTTTAAGTTCATCAATTCTTGAAGAAAATTCAGCATCAAGTTGACATTGGATATTTTTATAAGCTCTATCAATAATAATTTTAATTTGTTCTAGAGTATAATTCTTTTGACTAATTTCTCTAAAAACTTTCTTTAATTCAGTTGTTCCAAGAGTTCCTCTCATTCTAGGGAAATTAATCTTTTTTAAAACCTCATTTAAATCAGTTTCCAAATCTTTAATATTTTTATTATTCATTGAAATTTGAATATTTATAATCATTTTTAATACCCAAAGAGGTTTCTTAGAATACATTTTATCTATACAAATTGAAAATATTTTAATTAATAAACGAGCACCAAAATTACCAGAATATAAAGAAGTAACTTTTCTAGATAAATGACCATCATTTTCTGGATAATACTTAGATAATTTATGAATAATATCAACAATTTTAAATATTAAAGTATCACTAATACCATTTAAATTATATAAATGAGCTAATGCAGCAACATAAACAATTCTATGTTGTTTACTCATTACTCCTTGATGTTCAAATCCAAATGTAGTACAATAAATTAATTGATCAATAACAGAAACTAATATTTTTGGATGCCATTGTGAAATTTGAATAGCCATAATAACAACATCTTTTTCATTTATAAATGCACCATTAATTAATGAATCCATTAAATGTTTTATAATTAATTCACATATTTCTGGATCTTCATAATTAAATTTTCTTAATAAAATAATTCTTTGTTGTAATGTAAGTTCAGAAGGATGACTAAATAAATGTTGTAAAAATAATTCTTGAGGAGGAATATATTCATCTTCTTCTGCTTGAATATTTTGAGTTGAATCAAGTAAACGTTTAATTTTCATAAATAATCTCATACATTCATTTTTTTCTTTTTTAATTGTTGTTCTTGATAATTGTTGAAATATTTTTATATTAGATAATTGTTCTGATTCTTCAAATAAATTAACATAATGTCTACAACAAAAATCCATAGAATTGTAAATAAGACGTAATTTATTAATTGATGAAAGTGGACAATCTGTAGAAAATAAATAATCATAAGCTTCCATTAAATAAGTTTTATCTAAAGAGAATTTAAAAAATTCAGATAATATAATAATACAATTTGAAATATAACCAAAATTAATAGAATTTTCAAATAATTTTAATATAATAGATGCAATATTTTCTTTTGTTTGTAATTGAATTAAATAAAAATATTTACTATATAATGAAATATTATATTTACTAGTAATTTTAGAAATTAATTGATGTAAAAATGTTTTAATAGTAATTGTTTTAAAAACAAAATGTTTATAAGTAGTTAAAAAATCTCTTACAGCAGAATTAACTTGTTTTTCATCTTCTATTTGTTTTAAAAATTCAATATATTTTTTAAATTTAATTTTTATATCAATATGAGTTTTTAAAGGTTGTTGTTTAATATCAGAAAATGATGGAAATACAGTATAAAAATCTCTTGTTTCATTATCATCATATAAATTACATAAATTTTTTGATTGAATTTCTTCTTTAGATTCAGTATAATTCATATTATATCCCATTTGAAGAAATAATATATTAATAAGTTCTTGATTTTCTTGAATTCCTCCAATACTACAATATTTATCAACTCTTTTTTTATATTCAGTAAATAAATCAGTAAATTTATCTCTTTTTCCAATTAATATACAAATTTTTTCTTTAATTATTTGATCTTCACATAAAATTTGATTTAATGATTCTTGAAGATTTGGAGATGAAAAATGAATTGTTGTAAATACTGAACCTATTAAATTTAATAAATAAATTATTTCTGGAATATACATTTTAGTTGTAATAGTTATTTCTTCTTTAGATTGACTTTGTAAATAAAATGTTAATCCTTCAATAAATTGTTGTTTTAAAATATGTCCTTTAATAGGTAATGAAACAAGAAATAATTCAACAATAAATATATAATATCCAAATGATTTTTTTATTATATTAGAATTTTGTAAAAGTATTTCATTTAATTCTTTACAAAAATCATTTTCATAATATTGTGAAAATAAACAACATAATTCTACATAATTTATTATTAAATGTCCATCTTCAAATGAATTTTGCATCATATTTGAAATATATTCTTGTAAATATCTTTTACAATTATATTTACTAATTTCTTGTTTTAATATTTCAATATTTTTTGAATTAATATTTCTCATTTGTAATGATATTTTTTGACATATACTTAAATTTGAACTTCCTGTAATTATTTTTTTAATATATGTTTTATCATATTCTTGTCTAATATTTTCACTTCTCAATTCTGCAAGTTTATTAAATAAATTTTTATCATTTATTTGATCAATCCATTTATTATGTTCCATCTTAAATTATTTCTTTATTTATTTCTAAGTTCTATTTTCTTTTTTCTTTTTTTTTTACTACTTTATTTTATTAAAAAAAAAAATTATTATTATTATTGTATTTTAATATTCTTAAAATTTAAATATAAATTGAAAATCTCTTTCATTTATGAAATTTTTCCTCTTCTTTTAAATTCAAAAAATTATTGTTTAATTGCTTTTTGAATCTTTTCAATAATTTCTTTTGTTTTTCCATTTTTAACAAATCCTTTCATTTCTTCAAGACTTGTTCCTAATTTTTCATTAATTAATTCCTTATTTTCTGATGAACGATTACATGCTGCTGCAATGAAATTAACTACTTTTTCAAGAACAATATCATCATTTTTATATAAATTAATTATTTGTTGTGTTGTTTCAAATGCTAAATTTTTATCTAATTCTTTTTTAATTTCTTCATCAATTGATGCATTTCCTAATGCACTATATCCTGAAAGAACAATTGATTTTGTTGGTTTAAATGAATTAATTGATTTAACAATAACATTAACAATTTCTTTTGTTCTTAATGCTTCTCTTGTTTCTTTATTTGAACATAAATTAATAAGTGCATTTAATCCAAATATAACAGCTTTTTCTGTTTTTTTATTTTTAATAATAGTAAGAATATCTTGAACAAATGGAAGTAATTCATCATGAATACTTTGATCTTTAGCACAATTAGCAATTAATCCACAGAAATTTTCTGAACATACTGAAATATTAATTGTTTGTACTGCACTTGATAATAAATGTGATTCAATAATTTTCTTTATTACTTCTGGTTCTGAACTTAATGCAAATAATATATTTAATGCTTTTGTTTGAGTTACTTCTGAAACATGGAAATATTTTGCTAATACAGTAATAATATTATTTTCAATTAATTCTTTCTTTAATCCTTCCATTGTTGCTAATCCTGAAAGTGCAGTAATTGCTTTTTCTTTAATAATTGGTTTTTTAAATTTATCTAAATCTTCAATAATATGTTTACACCAATCTTTATCAATATATTCTTCAACATTATCACTTGATGAAATATTAATAACACAAATTAATGCTAATCTAATTAATTCTTCATCTTTATTATCATCTAATACATGATCAATTTCTTTTGCTCCTCCTTCTTTTAATATTTCTATAGCTAATTCATCTGCTTGTGACATATTAGTAATTGCACTTAAACATGATTTAACAACTTCTTCTTCCTCTCTATTTTTTTTAAATCCTTCAATTAAATTCTTTGTAATACCTTGTTCTAAAATTAATTTTCTTCCTTCTTCAAAATCACTAATATTTTGTAAAAATCCACATCCTCTTGAAATAATTTTATCTTCATCTTCATTTTGATCCATTGCTTTTTTTACTTCATTAATAATTTTTTGATTTTCTGCCATATCTTCTGCAACTTCTTCACTTGTTGAAAGATTCATATAATATCCTAATGCTAATCTTGCTGCTTCTTTACATTTATTAGTATATTCACTAACTATTTCACTACATTTTTGATGAACTTCAACTTCTTTAGAATCAGTTTGTGAGAAATTAAAAAATATTCCAAGCATTGGAATTATAATTTCTTCAGTTGAATATTTCTTTCCAATTGAAATAAATTTTGAACTATTTTCAATTATTTTTTCTAAAACTCCTTCATCTTCATTTGATAATGCTCTAATCCCACTCATAATACGTGCAACAACTGTTAATTTATTTTTTTGTTTCTCTAATAATTTAAATAATGCTTCAATTCCTCCTGCTTCATTAAATTGAATTTGTGTTTCTTTCTCTCCTGCTGCATTACAAAGAAATCCTCCAATTAATCTTGCTAATGTTTCATCTTCTTCTCCAATTTTAATTACTTTAACTATTTTTTTCATTATATCACTTTTTTCTATTAAATGAACAAATTTATCATCTTCTGCAAGTGTTAATAATGCTCCAACTGCAGATGTTAATGTAAAAATATTAGTATTATCTAATGTTTTACTTAATCCATCTATTGTTATTTTAGTTATTAATTCATTTTTATTTTCATTATCAGCCATACCCCAAATAGACCCTGAAAGTGCTCCTGAAATTTCTCCATTATCACTATATTTAATTAATTGGTTTGAAACAATAACTCCAAGTCCTGCTTTAATAGCTGCTTCTTGTGCAATATGACAATTAGTTAATAATGCTCTTAAAAATCTTCCTGAAGAATGAACAACTTCTGATTCTTCTGATTGAATATTTTTTATTAGTGTTTGACAAATATTTTCTTCAATACACTTTGTTTTTCTATTTTGTCCTTTTTCTTTATCTTGTATTTTTGAAATTAACTCTTCATATATTTCAATAATTTGTTTATTATCATTTTCATTAATCAATTTTTGACATGCTTTTCTTACCATATTTATTCTACCTTGACTATTTTATTTTAAAAGTTCTCAAGTTTCAACTCTTTTTGTATCATTCTTTTTGTTAGTTGAATTCTTTTGGAATATACGTCCATTTTCTCAAAAAAACAACCAAAATTATTCTTTTGATATTCTTTCTATTTCCACGTGGCTACAAATCTTAAAGTTTTTCCTTTTATCTATTCATCTCAAAACTTTTATTGATCTTTAAATTCTTATTTTAATCTTTTTTTTTTCCTTCTATTTTGTTTTTCTTTTTTTTTGTTTTTCAAATAAAAAAATAAATCACCAAGAACAAATTAATGGATATTACCCGAAAGATTTGGTTAATTATAAGTAAAGAAGAATAATATTATTAAATAATAATAAAACAATGAATTATAGATAAATAAAAAATAAAGTGTTTTTCTTAAAAAAGGGAATGAGATTAGCTTTATTAAATGGATTAAGGAACAAGTAGATAAATTTGTTTTATCAAAAAAGAAAATTAAGAAAATAGAACTAAAAACAATCAATGAACGTTTTATTCTTCTTGGCTCTTGTCTTTATTGTTAATGCAGATAACCAACCAAATGAAATGAAAGAATATCTTTCTGGAGAATGGAAGTTTTACCAAGTTGAAACAACAATTTCTGATGATTCTGATAATTCTGAAGATAATGAAATTGAATTTGAAGAACGAGAGCCATTAATTGCAATGAATATTACAGCTAGAACTGATCTTACTGATATGCTTGATATTATTATTGATGATGATAATGAGAAATATTATCAATTATCTATTTATGATGGAAGTACTATTGAAATCCAAATGATAGGTGATGATGTTCAAGAAGATAAACTTCTTATTACTATGAATTTCCATAATGTTTCAGATATGTATATTGCAGAAGGTACATTCAGAAATATTTCATATACTGCTTATATTCCAAGAACTGATGCTCTTGTTGCTTCAATTACTACATACCAAAAAGATGATGATGGAAAAGTTATTGTTACTAGATATATTGGTGAAAAAACATTTGTTGACAAACGTACTTTCTTCCAAAAATATCAAATGTTTATTATGATGGGTCTTATGATGCTCTTCCAAATGTTCATGGGACAACCAGGTGCTCAAGCCCCTGCCCAAGCACAACAACAAGCTGCTCATTAAATTGATTTTTTTTTTGAACTAGAAAAGTGTTGAGTATATGTTTACTTATTATTTTATTCTATTAAAACACTTTCATTTCATAAATTTATTTAATTTAAATAATTACAAACTAGAAACAAATTATTAATACTAAATATTTTGAATGGTAATATTGTCATAATATTAATTATCATTTTATAAACTAGACATTAATGAGTTAAGATAAAAATTGTGTATTATCTTTTATTTTCTATAATTCTTTTTCTTGTGTTGAAAATCAATTCAAAGTAAATAAACTTAAAAGGATTTTTAGTAAGTTTCTATATACAAAATAATGTTATAGAGTTTAATTACTTTTATTAAATTTTAGAATTCAAAAAAATGAATAAATAAACAATTTGTATAATAATTACTCAAAAACAGTATCTCTTCGATTAAATTATATAATAAAGTTTAATCAAAAATTAATTTTGATGAGATAGAATGAATTCAAAGATGGTATTCTAAAAAGATTGAAAATTAAGTCTAAATGGACTTTTTCTAAACTTATTTTATGATGTTTTATACTTTTTGAGAATTTTAATTAAGGTCTAATGAATAAGTATTTTACAATTGGATATGATAAATGAGCTGTGTATGAGATAATTATCCACAATAAAATGAAACACTAAACCAACAAAAATAAAAAACCAAAGTTTTTGAGCTATAAAGAAATACAATCTCAATTTCTTTTATTTCCAAAAATATTCAATGGAAGAGGTGTTTAAAAGTAATGGAAATGGAACAGACACTGAAAATGATTCTGAAATGCCACCTCTGGATGATCTTCAATTATTAGATCCCCGTGTTTATTCAGAAGAGTTTGAAATACCTGAAGATAGACAAATTGACCTTTGGCCTAATTTTCAATTCTTTTTAAACGAACAAGCAAAAGAAAAATATGGAGATGCAATTAATTCATTAATGATTGAAGAAGATGAAGAAGAAAATGAAAATGAAGAGGTTGATCTTGAAAAGGATGAATCAGAAGATGAAAGAATAGATGAAAAGGCAGATAGTGGAATTGTAGATGAAGAAACAATTGAAAAAGCAAAGAAAGAAGCACAACAACGTGAATTGTTAAGAGAAAATCAATACTCTTCTGTTTTAGGAAGAATTCAACAACGTTTATTTGTTGGGAAATCAAAAAAAGGATTTGGCTATATCACAGATGACCCATTCATTGATGACACTGGAACCGATCCTGTTCCACATTACAAAGCTAATCAACCATTTAAATGTGTTCCAGTCAAAAATTTGACTGAAGAAGAACTTAAAAAGGAAGAAGAAAAGAAAGAAAAAAGAAGGATTCAAGCCCGACAATACCGAGAGGAAAAGAAAAGGAAAGAAGATGCAATTTCTAATGCTAGTCAAACCATCGGTGGTAGTATTTCTAAGTTATCTGTAAAAGGTAGTAATGTCGCACAACCAACAATATATCTCAACACTACAACTTCCTCTGTACCAATTAACATTACTAACTCTCAAAGCTATGAAGAATCAAACATTAAAAAACCAGCTCTTCCAACATCAGTAGAAACAAGTCATAGGAATTCTCAACTTAAATCAAAAGTGATAAATGAAAAATCACATGTAATTCATTTGGATGACCAATAAAAAGAGTAATACAAAAATTAATTATGTCTTTGATTTATGGATAAAATTGATTTTGTTTAGACCTGAGAAATATAACAATTAATTTAAAAAACACATAGCCATTTAAATAAGAGGTAAAATCCACTTAATAAAGATTACTAAGAGAATAGCAATAATTAGTAAAGCAATTATTCCAATTTGAACAAATTTGTCTGTGATTAATCTGAAAGTCATTCTCTTTAATTTGCTATCTGCAATAGTTACGTTTGAATCAATGTCATCCAACTAACTGATAAACATTTTTTCCTTTTGAAGTATGTAAATAATGTGTTAAATAACATTATTTTCATAAAAATAATTAACAAACTTTGTTATTCACTCCTCTTAATTGTTCCCCTTGTTGGACAAGCATTTGATGAGTTTCAGCTCCAATTTGTTCATTCTCTCTTCCAATGACAAGTGCCTCACTCAACATATCGTTTTGTTGTTGTAAAAGGGATTGTGCTTGATTGTACTCTTCCATTTCTTTCAATTTTCTAGTTTCTTCTGATTTTTAAGATTTCAATTTCGTTTTTATCCTTCCTTTTTGAATTTTTTTATTGTTATCTTTTTATTTTTAGTTCATCATGATCTTATTATTATTTACGTCATATATAACAAATTACAATATGTGTTAAACCTCAATCTTAATAAAAGAGAAAAATGAACTTGAACTCATAAAGATAATGACAACACCAGAAGTTGTATTGCATCCTCTTGCATTGATTTCTATCACCCAAAGTGCTACACATAAAACAATTAATTGTGGAACAAACAAACCTGAAAGAAGTGTAGGGATATTACTTGGAATTGAAAATGAAGAAGAAGTTATTGTACGAACATCATTTGAAATTCCAGAGAGTCAATTACTAACTAAAATGAGTGAAGGTGTTAAATTAAATTCAGAAGTAAATAAAGAATACAAAATAGTTGGATGGTATGCTGGAATGGCTAATGGAGAGCCACTAACTAGTGATATTGAATTACATAGTCAAATTGTTGGTGAAAATAAGAACGGATTATTTTTAATATTAAATATAAGTAAATGTTATCAAAAAGAAACAGATAAAATTCCAATCACATTTTGTGTATTAAGAAATGAATTATTTGTACCATGTAACTATCGTATTGCATCTGTTGATGTTGAACGTATTGGTATTAATGAGATCATTAATTCAGGAAGTTCAGTAGAAACTGATAAAAAAGAAAAAGAAGGAATAAGTCATGCTATAGAAACATTAAAAAAGAAAGTTGACATTCTAGTTAAATATTTAAAAGGAGTTGAAAATGGAATTATTCAAGCAGATGATCATATCCTTGCTAAAATTGCACAAATTTGTTCTTCTATTCCAGTCAGTGATAATTCAGTATTCAGAGAAGAATTTAATCAAGAAAGTAATGATGCCAATTTGACTGTACTTATGATGCAACTCATTCATACTGCTACTGTTATTTCAAATAATATAGTAAATTATCAGGAATTAAAACTTCGTTATAATAAAAAGTTAGCTAAAGAAGAAGAAGAGAGAAAAAAAGCTGAACAGAGAATAGGTTTTGATATAAGAAGAGGTGGAGTAATGATGGGTGATCTAGAAGGAGAATATGATAGCGATGATTAAATAAACGTTTTTTTTAATTCAAAGACTTCAATTCATTATTTTTTGATTGTTAGAGAATGATTACTCATTTCTGTGAAGAATCTTTTTCATTGTTGCAAACACAACTAATCCAACAAATATTAATCCTGATACTATTACTACTATTAATGCTGAAACTAATTGACCTGCTTTTAATTTATCTTCTTCTAATTTTAATACACATTCTTCTTCTTCTAATTGATAATTTTCATATGAATTACAAATACATTCTTCTCCATTAAATATTTCTCCTTCTGAACAAATAGTAGTGTTGATGTAATATCTGTTATGTTTTCTATCACATCCTACTTCAGATATTATGTTGTATTTTGTGTATGTTTCACATTCTTTATCTTTATTAATTTTATGTGCAAATCCAACATATGTGTTAGTGTTATTTATAAGAAGTGTTGATAGAACTGTTCCTTCAGTTTCATTTGCAACACAATAATTCTTAAATACAGTTACTGTATATCCTGTTATTCTTTCTAATTTAAAATCAGCAGTACATTCAGATGATGGGATATGAATGTATTGAAGGGAGTTGTTAAATGAATCAGTGATTTGATTTAAATCAATTGTTTTGTGTTTGTTTTCTATTTGGATAGTGCATAATTTATCGGCATAAGTGGCAATGGATAATACTAATGCTGGTTCATTAAACAAATATTCATAATAATTTCCATCATAGTAAGTGCATTTGTTGATCGGGAAATAAGTGAACGAATGGAAATCATCAACAACATAATATTTGTCAGCAAACACACAAAGAAACAATAATAGGGATAATATCATCTGTTGATTTGATGAATAATAATTTATATTATTTCTTTTTATTCTTTTTATTCTATTTCCCTTTCTTCTTTTTTATTTAATTTTTATTATCCATTTCTTGTTTTATATATCGAAATTCTATGTGTATTCTAAGACTGAATTATTTCAAGAAATAAAGGAAAGGTAATTTTGAACTGCGTTGATAGAAACAAAGGTGTAAAAAATTAATATAAAAATTCATATAATTTGGAGTAATTTGGTTTAAATTAAACATACTTTTGATTCTAAAAACCATAAAAAAATAATAATTAAAATAAGACAAAATATATTTTATTTTAAGAAACCAGTTTCAGATGTAATTGAATTTATTTTGTTCAAAGTTATGTAACCACACTATTTCTCTAACTTCAAATTGGTTGTTCTTCTTAAAATCTAATTTTAATTGATGAGTGAATAAAAAGACATTAATAAAAATAATAAAAAAAAGGAAATAAGGAACAATAAAGTTTGTTATTTTTCAAAGTAACTCAAGTAACGTTTTTATATACTAAAAAAATCGGAAAAGAATTACAATAAAAATAGAATGCCGAATAAATTTAAAGTTAAAAATTATGATTTCTATTTATAAACTTTAAAATTATTGTGTGTAAAAAAAAAGAATCAAGTAAAAAAATTTTTTTTAGTTGAAGACTGAAAATAATAAAATACATGACTAGTTGGACTGAAATACAAAAAGAGGCTATTGAAAAATGGGTTGAGTCAGTGATGGAGAAAAGGGTTCTTCTTAATGAAGTCAATGGAATTATTATAATTCAATTTTTAGAGAAACTATCGTCTGTAAAATACAAAACTACAAGAAACAAAGTTGTCAAAACACCATTTGATCAAATGGAGATTGCTGAAAAAGCACTGGAATTTGGGAAAAGTTTAGGTTTAAAATATCACTCAGTTGAAGCTATTCATATTGTCAGTCACAACGAAAAGATGTTGCTATCTCTTTTTATTTCTGTTGCAACAAAATTTGTACCTTTAGGAATACTTCACATGAGAAGTGTTAATGATTGGGTTAAAGAAATGACTCAGTTACCCATTCAAAACTTCAAATCAGATTGGGAAGATGGGTACGCTATAAAATTTATTTTTGCTGATGACCATCCATTTGAGTTATTTTCTCAGTTTGGAATTACTCAAGTAATTCAAGAAAAGAATTTAGGAAAAGATGAAATTACGATGAAGCTTCAAATTGCTTTGATTTATTATAAAAAAGAAGAAATAGAAAAGTACAGATTTAATAAACTTGACATTAATAAAGTAATGACAGAGAAGTTTGAAGAACGTAAAACCAAATTACGTTCTGAAGGTATTTTTGATGATAGCCATTGGGTTCCAATCAAGGTAAATACAGAAATTAAAACAAGTGCTACTACCCCTATATTACCAAATGATGAAAAAAATAATAATATACTTGAAGTTAAGGAAATAGAAAGTAAAACTTCTGTGGATGAATCTTTTTCTGATGAAAGCATTGAAAATTCAGTTGAATTAGAAAAACGACAAACAGAAGAATTACAAGTTGTAGAAGAACAAAAAGATATAAAAGAATTATATAAAATAAATAAAGAAGAAGAAAACAACCAAATTGAAGGAGTTATAGAAAAAGATTATAAGACAGAAGAAGATAAAACTAAAGAAGAAAAGGAGAACCAAAAAGGAAATGTTGATATAGTTAATGAAGAAAAAATTCAGTTGAAAGAAGAAGAAGATAGTATTAATAGTATTAGTGAAGAAGAGTTAGAAAAAACACAACCAATCTCTTCTTTTGTTAATACTTCACCAAATGAAAGTCAATCAGAAAAAGAAGGGTCACCAATTAAAACACAAATATCGACAAATGATAATAATAGCCAAGAAGAAATTATAAATAAGTCAGGTGAAGAAGAGCTCTTAGATAATAATAGTTTAACAAAAAGCGAATCAGAAAATAAAGAAAGGAAAGACAATGAAATTGAAGATCAAGAAAATGAATTAGAAATTATACAAAAAGGTCCTATAGAAAATTTAAAGGAAGCTATTGAACGAAAAGAATTAATTAACAATAACACAATACCAAAAGTTCAAGAAGATAATAAACAAGAAGATGTTCAAAATGAAGTTATTGTTGAAAAAGTACAAAAAGAAACAATTAAAAGTAATGAAGACGTAAAAAGTGAAACATTAAATAGTAATTTTTCTGAGTTATTGGTTGAAAGAAAAGAAGAAAGTAATACAGAAACTCCTACTTCTAAGAAAGTTATTATTGATGGTAGGTTAAGGGACTCAACAAAAAAACCAGTTTGTTGTGAAGAAGAAAAACCATCAATTAACAATAAAAAAGAAGAAGAAAGTTTAGGAGAAGAACTACCAAATGACCCAATAGAAACAGAAAAACCTTTTAATAAATCAGAAACTGACTATCAAACAAGGACATTTGAAGAACAAAGTGAAGAAGAAATAAGTAATGAAAATAAGGTAATAGAAGAATATAAAGATACATTTAAGAATTGGACTGGGATGACTCATCACTCAATTTTGTATGATAGTTCGAAAGATGAACTTACTGCTATGTCATTCAATAATAAAGTAGAAGAAAAAAGTAATGTAATGATATTAGTTATTACAAAAGAAGGATATTCATTTGGTTGTTTCAATAAAAAACAAATTCCTAAAGCACCTAAGAAAGGATATAAGTATATTAAAAATGATAAAGATTTCTTTGTGTTTTCATTACGTTCAAAAGAATTAACACAACCAGTGATGATTCAAAGGAAGAAAAAAGGAAAATCATTATGTATATGGAATTCAAGTTGTAGAGTTTATACATTTACTGTAAAAAGATTTATGAGAATAACAAAAAAAACAGAAAAATCTCATTTTATTAGTAATTTATTTACAAAAGAATATAAAGACACTACAAAAAAAGGAACAAAGTTATTTACTGGAGAAAATGAGTTTAGTGTAGATAAAGTATTAGCTATACAATGGTCTCTCAATAATTAATTTGTTTTTTTATTGTTGCCTATTATCAATGAACAACGATAAAAAATAAACTAACCGTTAAACAATAAACTTAAATCAAAACAATGACAAAAGGGGTTTTAGGATATAAAGTGGAAGTGATAAGTTTAACCAATTACATTAACTCAGTTCTTCTACTATCGATAGAAATTTCTCTAGGAGTTTGTTTTTGTATTTGGAAATCTAATCCATATTGTTGGGGCTGACGAACAGAGGGATCTTGCGATGGTAAATTAACTTTTTTAAATTTAGGTATGTTAATATTAGTTGGTGCGAAATAAAACAAAGGGAGATTTCCCGTCATATTTCCTGTAAGTTGAAGTAATTTATTAACGTTAGAATTAAATTCATTAATAAAACCACCAAAATCAGATCTTTTTTGTAATACTATATTAGTAATACCTTCTAAACATCGTTCATTATCAGAGATAAGTTGTTCACAAATTTGGTCATCTTGTGTATATCCTCTATCACGTGTTTGATACATAATTGGTGGTACTCTCCCTAATGAAGAAGATGAATAAGTACCTTGAGAATATACTGGAGGTCTTGCATATTGTGAAGGACCACATTGTGTAATTATATTATTTGGGAATTGAACACGAAGTTGTGGGGCAACCGGAACTTGAGGTTGTAAAACAGGAGGTGGATTAGATACTAAAGGAGTTGGAGGAGCATTAGAAGATATTGACATTGAATTAACATCTCTTTCTCTTCCATTAATTGTTGAAGAACCAACAGAAGAAACTTGATTTGAATTACTTGAAACTGAGAGGTCTTCATCATCACGTTTTATACGTAAAGGAGTTCTTCTTTCACGTTTAGGTTCTTCTTCACGATCAGTAGGAGTAGCACGAGGAGATTTAATAGAATGAGAAGGAGATACTTCAACCCTTTGTTGACCGAAAGAAGAATGAAGAAAACTCTCCCAACTAATATCTTGTTTTTCTTTTGCTTTCATATATTTTACACGTAATGAAACATCTCTTAATCGTTTATTAGGTAAATTTGTCATTAATAATGTGAGTCGTTTAAATTCAGCATTTTGTGAAGCAGGATATCGTTTCATATTATCTTCTAATATCATTTGTTCTTCAGGTGACCATGAAGGAATTGATTTAATATATTCTGCAATATTTGGTGTAGGTGAATCGTCTTGAGATGGTGATGATCGTGGTCTAGGAATAATACTGTGAGGGTTCGACATTATTTACAAATCCTGTTTTTTAGTTATTCTTTTTTATTTATAGTTACTCCATTTTTTCTATATTTTCCCATATTTTTATTCTTTTTGGTCCTATTATTTTTTTACTTTTATTGCTTCTTTTGTTATTTTTGAGTTCTCATCCTTTACTATTATTTTTTATTCCTAGCTTTTTACCTATTTTTTTGGGTTTTTATAACTTTATAAATCTATTCTATTTATTATAATTTTTTTTATTATATAAAAACTATAAATCTTTGATTTTTGTCTTTTGTCACTTTTTAGTTGGTTAATAATACTTCTTGTTATTTTTGATTCAAAAACTATTTTCTTCTTGTTTGTCAATAAAAGATTAAGTGAAGAAAAAGATATTGAATTTGGTATAACTTAAAATAAAAATGGTTAACAAAAAATCGAAATAGAGAACAGATATATCTTCAAGACTAAGGGTTTTGACTTATTCTTAAGAAAAATAATTTAGTTGGTTTTGTTTTGGAATGGTTCATAAACACTCCTTTTAACTAAACTTTTTAATGAAAGGGCTTTTATCAATAAGTTAGTGGACTAATAGAACGAACTTTGTTCATGTCTTAAAGTGATAAAAGTTGTTTTAACTCCAAACAGAATTAAGTTTTGTTCTTTATAATAACTGGTATTTTCATCTTTATAACTTAAAAATTAATTGAATTTAAAATTTCAAAGATGATAGAGGTAATAATTATATACAAAACTTCTCTCGAATTAAAAATATAGGAATTCCCTTTTGAATTATAAAACATTTTATAACAAAGATAAAATATTACAAAATAAAGATAGTTTCTTAAAAGAGAAGAAAAATTATAATAAGAATTTAGCATTATTTGAAGAATTCAATATAATTTGTATCTATCAATAACCAGAAATATTATTTTAATTGTGTCTAGTTATTATTAAATAAAAAGAAAATAATTTAATACTAATTGAATTAGAAACTTGTCATTACTTTTTCATCAAGGACTTTATTTTTATTTTAATTATGACAATCATTTTATAAGAACCTTTCTTAATAAAATTGATTATTTCATTAGATTTATTTTGTATTATACTAAAATTAGAGAGATTGAAAATTATTATATTTGAGTTTTAACTTATAACCTTTCTTTATTCTTCAGTTAGTTTAATTTTATTAACATAATTTTTGTCTAATTGACAAAAGAAGATTATTTACATTAATTAGTTTATTGTTTATTAGATTAAGAAGAATAAAAACATTTTTTTGTTTTATTTAAAATGAAGTTATACTATTAATAAATTATTATTTGAAAATTATTTATTTAATAAGAAAAGATTATATTTAATTTTTTTTTATTTTAACAAATTTGAATAATTTTGTGTTATTTGATAATTTCATTTTTTGTTATATTTCTAAAACAAATTATTTCAATAAAAAGAATTTAAGTATAATTTATTTATTAACCTTTCCTGAAAATGAGTTAATAACTAATTTGTACACGCTCATTTTTTCTACTGCAGAACCAACCATTTTCATTCCTTTTTCTTTATACTCAGATGAGTATTTGTCAATAATTAATTCTATCCCTTTTATTTTTTCTTCTTGGCTTAAATCAAAACAAATAGTTCCAAAACACATTACGCTCTCATAATGATCAGTGAATTGTTCTGGAACTATACAAGTCTTACCAACAACAGTGAAAGAAACTTTAGGGTTTTTCTTTAAAATCTTAATTTTTTTTCCATTTCCTCCATGAAAATAAAGATTTTGGATACCGTCAAATGCATAGTTAATTGGTACACCATAACCACTATTACTTTCCTCATCAACCATTGCCATAAATCCATACTCTCCATTTTTAATAATTTCAATAGCTCTAGTTTCTTCAATTTCAGAATTTTTACGAGTTATACATGAAGTAGTGTAGTTCATTGTATTTACAGTTCATAAAAAAATTGATTCTATTATGAAACAAAAACTGACTGGTAAAGAAAAATTAGAAATAAAAAATTATTTAATAAGTTGACTATCTTGGAGAATGATTAGGATTAGAACGATCTAATTTATAATTTCTACTTCTTGAATTAGACCGATTGTTGTATGACCTACTTCTTCTTGAACTAAATGATTTTCTTTTCGAGCTGTAAGATCTCTTTCTAGACCTCGGTCTCCTTCTTCCTGGAGAGTCGTGATTGAATGAATTCCTATACAAAGGAGTAGGAGAACGACTTCGTGATCGGTCTCTTGAAAAAGAACGATAATTTTTATTAATAGGAGATCTATATGAATTTCTATATTCAGGAAGTGGTGGAGATGATCTTCTTGTAGGTGATTGGTAAGGTGACCTGAAAGAGTTACTATTTCTTGAAGACGGGCTTCTTGAATAACTTCTTGAACTTCTTTTGAGATGAAGATAGTACGTAACTCCATACACTACAAATTTAGATGGAATATCATTTTTATTCATTGTAACAAATCCAGAGCCAAAAGAAAAAGTGTCGTATGGCATCCAATCCTCATTTTGAAATCTGATTATTGCTTTAGAATGTGTTGGATCACAAATATTATCTGTGTAATTTGAGTTGTATCGTTGTCTAAGCCAATTAATTATATAATTAGTATCTTGGTTAGTATCAGCAACAATGCTAATTTTGTCTTCATTAACTGAAGCTGCACAGGAATCAAAATTACTTTCAATCTCATTAACTAGTAATTCTCTATTCTCATTTGGTAGAGGGATAAATAAAATTTGATTGGTTAAGAATGAAATATAACCATCTCTTTCTGGCTGTTCAAGTAATGACTGCCACATATTAAGGAATTTAACATGAATTCTCTTTGACTCCCAAAGAACAAATAGTTGATGTGCTGCATCCTATTTATTAATTCCATTATACTAACTTATGAAAATGTGTAACAAAACAAACAATGTCTTCTCGTGTAAGTTCATAATTATTTCTACAAAGTGCTGTCATTGTAGCACGTGACATGCAATAAAAAGAATATTGTAATTCTTTTTTACGAATAAAACGAATAAGAGCATCAATTAAATGAATCTTTGTTATGAATAGTTTTTGAGAAGTACTTCTTAAAAAGTAATCAAACGCCCTCATTACTTGAACAGGCTACAAATTGTAAATGTATTGAGAAAAATATGATTAAATTATTTGACAAACATCGTCCTTGGTTTTTTCAACTAAATATAAAATTAACTCAATGTTATATGATGTTGACTGTTCTTGTATTCTACTAAACATTTTTTCTAACTGACACAATTCATTACTCTTTCCATTGTTGGGTTTGTATTGACTCATTTAAACAATAACAAATAAATAGTTCAATTATTTTTTGTTTTTTGTTTTTTATTAGAACGTTTAAAATGAATTGGTTATCTTCTATTTTTTAATGAATTTTCTATTATTTCTTCTTACTGGTTTGCAATAATAAAGACATCACAAAATCTTTTCTCTTGGAAACAAACTCTGTTTATTTATTAATTCTCTTTTTTCTTGCAAAGTATAGAATTAGAAGAATTTTTTGATAATAAGACCTCCTAAACAAAAACTGTAAATGACATAATTCTATTACAAAGGAGTTTATAAGTGCTCAACAAAGTATTAATTGAGTAATTGATTATGTTTATTTTTCAATTTTTCAGTGAAACTCAATTTAAAACTCATTAATAAAACAAGTCAGAAACGATTATTTTTGTCATCTTTATTGCATATATTTCCAATAAAATTACTAGATAAGTATATTAAAACAGAATGAGTCAATCTGAACTAATATGAAAAAATTAGTCTATGAAAAATACTAAAACAAACACAATAAAATAACAAATGATATACTTAATAAGAAATAATAACCATTTTATTAGTACTGTTTTGCAATAAACTATTTTAATATATCAATTTTAGAGTGTCAGTTAGTAACGTAATATCAAAACAAAATCGAATTGGTAAAATAATAAATTTCTAACTTGTAATGAACCTAAAAAGAAAAGTTAAATTGAATTTTATTAAAATTAAAAGTACTTTTTATAACGGTATCAAATAGAATTTTTTAAACAAGTAATAATTAGTTGAGGACATGAACAATATAGGACATTAAATCAATAAG